CTCCCCCCACTCTGTCTGGCTGCCAGGGGTACACTTACTAAAAAAGGTTGAAAACCCTTGATATAGACCATGCAGGAAATGCATGGGCCTTTGTCTTCCTCCCATGGCTGATTCATCTCCACTGGCATGTAAGACCCCTTTCAGTCCCACCTCTGTTATCATACCTGGTCAACCATGTCATATAATCCTTTGCATAAACTGATCAATTAATAAACGACCAGAACATTATAAGAGGCAGATGTAGGAACAACATTGCAGAACGTGCCATTGTTGACTGACATGCCCCCCAAGCAGTACCGCTTCCTGGAAATGGTGCTTCTGAAGAATAACGTGACTAGGTAATGCTCTTCTAGGACTCTAGAACCAAGAGGGTACAGGGCCTCAGGTTTGCTCAGCTGTACTAATCATTCTTTATCTCACATTAATTACTGCAGCTACTTTCAGAGCCCTATTTTCTATTGCCATGGTTAATCCTTTCCTGGAGGGCGACCAGAGCCAGAGTAACTTCCAAGCAGCAATAAATTTTTCTGTCTCTGCTATTTTGAATCTGCTGAAAGGCTAGCTCTTCATGCTTCTGGACCATTAGTCTATCACTCTGATAGGTAATGGTGCCTGAAGTGATTCATGCCCTTTCCCACCTATTTCTCAGCCTCCTGTACAAAATCCAACTTGTGAGTCATGGTTTTTAAACTGTGGGAAAACTAGTAACTAAGAATGGGCCATAGAAAATATGAACCCTGGTGGAACACTAGGCAAACAGATTTTGTCACTAAGGTCTGGGTTATGAGCCATTCCCTTTTGTGGAGTTTGATGTACAGGAGAAAAAGAGGCCAAGGTAGAAGTTCAGAGTGGATACAGGGTTTCTACTTACTCACCCCATTCACTATCTATGCCAACTGCAGGATGTACATAGCAAATAACGCTTAGAGAAACAGGAACAATATGTCTGGTTCATTCAGAGGCCATAGTTCTGATTTCCATGAACAGCAAACAGCCAAAGTCTAAAACTAAAGTTTGAATGGGTACCTTGGGCACAGGGGAAGCCATGACTTCCAGTTGTCGCTCTGCTGCTGTCAAGATTGGAGCAGTTTCCCAGTGAGAGCTGTTTTCTTTGTAGCTTTCCCACTGCCAAATCAGTTCCCGGGGCAGTTATCTCAGTTGCTTTGCCCTAGATATGCCAGTGTTGAATGCACTCTGCTTGCAGTGGTCCTCTCCCCTTTCCAGGACAGCAAAGCATACTGGCCTATGGAAAGACAGTACAGTTCACTCCTGACCCTGCAGTATTACCACCCCTGGTCATTCCAGCATTTGGAGGCATGCAGCCAAGAACAGTATGAATTTAGTTTCTTTGTTATCATGTTTGTTTGAAGTTACATATGTGTAAACATGCATGTGGACACCCACACATGACCTTGCACATGCATTTGTACACACATTACTTTTCCTTGCCTTCTGGTGTGAGCTGTTTGGGGGTCACATTTAAGGTTTTTCTCTGCAGCCATAAGAGCTGGAATTTTATTTCCATTTTCTAGGTGAAAGCTGAGTCTGTCATACAAGTAGGATTTCGGGCTCTAAGAAAAACATCACATGCCTCCATTGAAAAAATCACTAGCGTGGACAACTCTAAAGAGGACCAAAGAACTTACAGTATGCTTTCCTTTTGATTCCAGTGCCAGGTGTGAACTCTAAGCCCTTCTTGGCACTGGACCTTGACTTCATGTTTCCCTCTGGCCTCGTACCTTGGGTTCTCGGTTACACCAAGGCACAGTGTGTATAAAATAGCCTGAGAGAGGATGGTTGTGATTTATACCTTCATAAAGTGAATATAATGATACCAAAAGACAGAGAAAAATGAATTCCTTAGGCTTCCCCATGGGTAAGAACAGCGGAATGAGATGTAAAAGTACTCCACGAGTTGTATCTAATGGGGTCAGAGCCTTAGCTGAGGTAAATCTATGTGGCTTTTCTTACTTCATTAGAGCCTCTCCAAATGGACTTCAGCTGAGGATCTGGCCCTGATGTTGACTCACTTTGTGACAACCAATTTTGGTCCCTATGGACAGGAACCTCAGATCTTAATAATATTCTGAAGACAGCTGTGATGCCCTGTTTAGTCTGATTATCCATAGAAGTTACAGGTACCTGGGTCACTCTTCCTGAAATTGCAGTAGCAGTCGTGGACTGTACGGGAGTTAATGGCTCCTCTCCCTTGCCTTTTATTGTCATCTTTAAATGGTAAGGTTTCTCCTTGATGTAAACTTACCCTCAGGAGGAAGAAGCAGAGAGAAATGCTGCCTCTGCTAATGGAGCCCTTAGACAAGCATACTGTCCTTAAGGTGTATTGGAGCTAATGGGTACCATATGCTCTAACTTTGAGCTTGAGCCGACAGAATAGCTGAGGTCAGGATCCTGACAAAAGGAAGAAAGGAGAGCAGCAGAGTATGGACCCCGGACTTTAGAAAAGCAGACTGAAGACTGCCTCAGGAAACTGATGGGCAGGATCCCCTGGGAGGTCAGTCTGAGGGGGGGGAAAAGAAGTCCAGGAGAGTTGGTTGGCTTTTAAAGAAACCTTACTGAGGGCACAGGAACAAACTACCCCGATATGCAGGAAGAATAGCAAATGTGGCAAAAGAGAACTCATCACTGAGCTAAAACACAAAGGCTAGGGACAGCAGAAGTTCAGTGCACATAAACCACTTTCAAAATGGCTGAAACCAATTTAAGATAAACTTGGATGGATGTAGTATCAGACTTAACATCTGGGGGCTGACTGGCTGGGCAGCAGCTCGGCAGAAAAGGACCTGGGGGTTACAGTGTACAATAAACTGAATATGAGGCAGCAGTATGGCCTTGTTACCAAGAAGGCTAACAGCATATTGGGCTGCATTGGTAGGTGTGTTGCCAGTAGGTCAAGGGAAGTGTTTATTCCCCTCTATTCAGCACTGGTGAGACCACATCTGGAGTACTGTGTCCAGTTTTGGGCCCCCCACTACAGAAAGAATACAGACAAATTGGAGAGAGTCCAGTGGAGGGCAACAAAAATGGTGAGGGGGCTGGGGCGCATGACTTATGAGGAAAGACTGAGGGAACTGGGGTTATTTAATCTAGAGAAGAGAAGACTGAGGGGGGATTTAATAGAGGCCTTCAACTACCTGAAGCGGGGTTTGAAAGATGATGGAGCTAGACTGTTCTCAATGGTGGCAGATGACAGAACAAGGAGCAAGAGTCTCAAGTTGCAGGAAGGGAAGTTTAGGTTAGATATTATGAAACATTTTTTCACTGCGAGGGTAGTAAAACACTGGAACAGGTTACACAGAGAGGTGGTGGAAGCTCCATCCTTGGAGGTTTTCAAAACTTGGCTGGACAAAGCATTGGCTGGGATGATCTAGTAGGGGGGACGATCCTGCTCTGAGCTTTGGGGTTGGACTAGATGACCTCCTGAGGTTCCTTCCAATCCTCATTTTCTATGATTTCTATGAATGGCTCTACCTCACTAGACAAGGCCTGAAACCTGATCTGCTGTTAGCAGGATATTTTTTCTGTTTGCGATCTATAGGTGTGCATCCTGCAGACAGCTACTATTTCAGCCTTCACTGTCACCTGTTCCCAGATTGTCACACAGACCTGGATCTCTTAAGCCTTGGCAGAGAGTATTTCAGTGAAGAGAGGAGCTGTTGTCCACCTGGTCAAGTTTAGTATCCTTCACCTCCTGGAAGCAGAGATGACACTGCATTGTTATTTAGGGACTCAAGAACAAGCTCTTAATTGTTTCCTGTTAATGCATTGTACCCTGTAACAGCATCACTCCTTCTCTGCATCTGTGTGTAATCAACGTTCATTTCTTTTCTTGTCTCAATATTTATCTTTGCTCCCAATATGCCCTTTCCCTGTCTCCCCTGACCCCATCACTGTCCTGGTTATCGGCTTTCTTGTAAAGGTCTGTTTTCAGAGTGTACAAGAAAACGTCTTCTCTGAATCTCATCAGCAGTTAATGTACAAGAATTGCCCGCAACCATAACAATCTAATGACTCCTTGTGCATTGCTAGTTAGAGCAGTGGTGGAAAGCAGGCTGGAGGGCTCTGTAAAGGGCTTATAATTTGCTTGTCAAAGGGAAATAATTTTATGTTCAGTCTTGGAAGAAATGGTGTGTAGAGGGGGTGTGCATGTACAATTCTGTATAAAATGTATGCCTGTGGAGTGGCTAAAGAGTGTGCACACCTGTGTTCCCACTGTAAAGTAAGGTGAAGTATTCAGTTTAATTATGTATTTATGTGTATTAGGGTAGTGCACCAGTGGTAGGCCAGGACTCTGCCAAGCTAATAGAAGAAGAGGTAAAGAAGTATGAAGATGGGGAGAGGCTTGGTAGAAGCAGCACCATTTTCAGCAACTGGTGGAGCTCTTGGGTCAAAATAAGATGTGGGGCAATTAGACTGAGATGCCATTGACTTCAGATATCCTGTAAAGTTCATGGTGATGGCGCATTGAATCAACCTGTGAATGGATCTCTCTGCTACTGGATGACTATGTAAACAACAAGAATTCCACCTTAACCTATTTACAGGTGATTTGGTTAGCAGTTGAGGTGTATTTGAATTTTAATGGAGACGTCTCAAAGAAGCTGAAACAGGCAGAGTGACAATATAGGATGGTGGCAATGGGATTCAGAAATGAGATTGGGTAGAATAAGGAGGAGACATTAAAGACAGTCTGGAGGAAAAGAAGCATCAGAGAGAGACTGGGCAGTAGGGAGAATAGAGGGAGACCAGATAAAAGTTTTGCTGGGGAGGAGCTCTGGGAAAAATACTATAGGAAGACTGGGGGGGGAACTGGGGACAAGGAGGGAGAGTCAAGGAAGGGGATGGTAAGACTGTTGAAAGATGAAAGATAATTTGGTGGAGGGAGGAAGAGTGTGAATGAAAGAGGGTTCTGAATAGGCATTTAAAGTATGGGGGAGTGTGGTAGGAAACACTGTTCCCTCTCCTTTCCTAGAACCTGTGACTTTCCTCTTCTGGTAGTGCTAGCAGGTGCTAGAATGCCATAAATGGATGAGAGAGCCTTGTTTCCTTTCCCTGGGCTAACATAGCAGAGTTCTCCTTCCAGCACTCCTCCTTTATGGCCAGTGCAGTGAGAGTTCCCTTTCTGCATCCATCTAACCCAGGGGTGGGCAATTATTTTGGGCAGAGGGCTGCTTACAGAGTTTTTGCAAGCTGTCGAGGGTTACATGGGTAGCCCTGCCCCCTAGTCGCCATCTTGGGACTGGAAGTCTAACCCCCTAGCCCCTGACCTTTGCCACCAGAAGCCCCTCCCCTTGCCTCCGGAAATACTCCTTTCAGTAAGGAGTTTTGAATTAAAATACCCAATTACATTCTAAAAAGTGAACATCTACCACGTTCATTAACTTGCTTTCAAAAATATTTTTGTCCTGATTTACATGTGTTTGTGTAGTGTACATAGAGGTGGTCGCACAATAGCTTAAAATGAAGCCTGCCTCGTGTAAACTGTGGGGGTGTGGGGATCATGGGGGTGGGTATAGGTTTGTGGGTGGCTGTGAGTATGTGGGGGCGGGTGGATGCTTGTGTGTGGGATGCTTGTGTGGGGGCATGCTTGTGTGGGGTGAGGGAGTATGTGGGGGTGTGGGTAGGTATGGGATTTGTGGGGAGAAGTGCATGGGGGGGAGCATGGCTGGAGTGTAAGGGGGTGTGGGTGTGGGGGTCTGCATGTATGGCAGTGCAAGGGGGATTGTGGGTGCATGTGTATGGTGGGGGGTGCTTGTGGGACTCACCCTACAAGCATACACTCTTCTCTTTCTCTCTTCTCCTCTCATTGCGCGTGTGCGCACACACACACTGTGTGCTTCCCTCACTACACACACACACACACCCACATACTGTGTGCTTCCCTCTCACACACTCCCTCTACGTCCCTCATTGTACACGCACACTTTGTGTTTCCCCCAGCACACACATGTACACACGCATACTATGTGCTTCCCTCTGGTTCTGAACCAGGGGTGGGCAAGTGACAGATCTGACCAGCAGCTGGACTCCATTTCCCAGCAGCCCCTGCCCCATGTCACTGCAGCCAGTTTCCATGGAGATCCCAGAACAGTGGTGCCATGGCAGTGTGGGGCCAGGATTTCCATGGAGATCAGCCCCAGCAGCCCTGTCAGGGCATGGGGTAGGGCAGGGAGCTGATCTGTGGCTGGGGCTGGTAACTTTCAGTGCTGATAGTGTGGGGCAGAGCCATGATTCGCTGCCTGCACGCCCCTACCTGGGGCAGCTCTGCCCTGGCTCTGGACCATGCTGTCACCGCTGCAAGATCCTAGCCCCAGAGCAGCTCTCTGCCTAGCTGTGCACCCTGCCAGTGGTGCCCAGGTCAATCTCCATGGAAACCCTTGCCCCACTGCTGGGGTCTCCATGGAAACTGGATGCAGAGATGTGAACAGAGGCTGCTGGGAAATGGAGTCTGCCGTGGGCCCAATCCCGTCCGTAGGCCAGACTTTGCCTGGCCTTGTTCTGAACAATTGGGAAAGCAAAATGACACTAAGAAATGTAAGTGATTTGTTTCAACATCTTGCTTATACGGAAAAATCTCTCAGTTAGAGGGGAGGGGGAGCAGTGCTACTGCTACTGAAAGGAAAGCAGGTGGGCAATGGTAAACTGTTCACAAATTATTTATTTGACAGT